TCTAGATAATTAAGTATCAAATAATAATAATTCAAATATATTTAGATAACAATTTCTTATTATGATCAAAATGGTTTATGTATTTGTATTTGGTGCCTATAAGAATCAAGTGGTAAAGGTAAACCAGTTAGTCGGTCAACACATGCAAAACATAGAAAAATATTAGTCTAATCTAGATAATATGCCTATACTACAGCGATGACTAGACACTCCTATTTCTCATATTCCAATAGTATCATCATCTGCTACCATTGTGAATCCATTATCTACATCTCCGTTATCGTTACCTGCTAATGTTTCAATACTATGTTAAGCGAATCAAAATAATGGAAATCAAGATCATAATAATGAAAACGTTATAAGTGAAGAAATAGTGATACAAAGCCATATGATGTCTAATGAAGAAGATCAACTCGAGATATTAGAGAATGAAGAAGAAAGTGATGAGGGCAACCAAAGCAGTTATATAATGTCTGATAAATTATTTAATGAAGATCAACTCGAAGTATTAGAAGATAAAGAGAAAGATGATGAAGGCAGTCAAGACAGTTATATAATATATGACGAACTATTTAATGAGGATCAACTCGAAGTATTAGAAGATGAAGAAGATAATGATGAAAGTAGTCATATAATATTTGATGAACTATTTAATGAATATCAATTTGAGATATTAGAGGAAGAAGAAGATGATGATGATGATGACGATAGCGATGATGAGAATAATGAAGAAATTAATGAGGAAGATGAGAATCATAAATATAATGATGAAATTTCAGAAGATTTAATCAAAGGTTTACAGCTTCTCCAAATTAAGGATAGACATAACATCTCAGATGCTACATTTAACGAAATTCTTAAAGTTTTAGAAATTCCTGAAACATCTATTTACAAACTTAGAAAGTTTTTTGGAAAAATTATCCCATTTGAACTGAATCTTATAGATTGTTGTGTCAACTCATGCGTAGCATTTACTGGAAAGCTTTCTAATGAGAACCAATGTCCAGAATGTAAAGAAAATCGTTACAGGTCTAATCTGATCGCAAGAAAAAGTGCTGCATACTGGTCACCTATAAATTCACTTTAAGAACAATATAAAGATAAAGATTGTATTAATACTCTTCTTTACCGACATAATTATACATCAACAGATAAATATAATTCTGATAATTATATAGGTGATTTATTCGATGGTATTCGTTATAAAACTTTAGTTTCTTTAGGATTCTTTTTAGATTATCAGGATATTACTTTGATAGCATCTACAGATGGATATCAAATATTTCGTCAGAAATGAGATGACTGCTGGATTGTTCTTTTAATAAATGCAAACTTACCACCTTCTATACGTGTTCAACGTGAAAATTTGATGATTTCTGTGCTTATTCTGAGACCAAAGCTCCAAAGAATTTTAATTCTTTTTTACGACCACTAGTTGATGAGTTAAAGCAATTACAAGGTAATATTACTATTAATTTGGTTATTTATTTATTATATATTGTATATTATCTACTTATTTGTTATAATAAATATAGAAGGTGTCCAATGCTTTGATAGCATGACTGAAAGTACATTTACTCTTCGTGCACACATTCTAAGTTGATCTGATGATATCCCTACACTCGCTAAGGTTATGTGTACAACCGGACATAATTCATATAAGGCTTGCCGATTTTGCTCAATTCGTGAAGTAATTCATCAAGGAAATTGTCATGTCTACTTTCCACTCAAGCCTCCAACTAGTGTTTCAGATATTCAGTATAATCCCAAAAACCTTCCATTACGAACACATAAAAATTATATACAAGATGTTACAGCCATAGAAAATATGAATAGATCTTCACATAAACGCGAAGTGCGAGTGAGAGGTAAGTTAATAGTATTGAAAATAACATTAAAAAATAATTATTAAATTATAATTTTAATAATTTATCTGTTTC